TCTGCAATACCACTTAATACGGGAGCGAAATAAATATTGAAGATTATAATTTATGTGCTCATGGAAATCATTGGAACAGATATTTCTGTTCAAAGATAAAGTTGTGCTTGAATGACAACAATATTGTACAAGATTGACGAGCAGTGTCCTCGCTCTCAGCCGGGTGACACCATCCCTCGCACAAACCAGCAAATTACAGGAACTGCCTGGTTTCTTCCCCTCTTCGCTCGCTAGTCTTCCCCCTCGCAGCTGCTTTCTTACCTTACCTCCCTGCCCCCAACTTCTACTCGCTGCCTGTAGGTCTCTGTCTCCCCCCAACACACACACACACACACACACACACACACACACACACACACACACACGGCCCGCCCCTCCCATTTCCTCTGCGCCTTTTTTTCCCTTCTAGGTTCACTATCAGGTGTTTTCCCCCTCCTCTGCGCAAACACAGATCAAAGGAAGTTCTGAATCTAAGCGGTTACTGTGAGGTGGAAACATCATATGTCTGGATATTACCCCCAAAAAAACGAGGAAGGAGAAATAAAAGAGTATCTCCAGATGGCGAGGTGCCGACTTCACCGAGGCGGGGCGGGCTGGGGAGGTGGGCAGCGGCCACAGAGCGCAGGTGGGGGTGGATCGTGGGCTCTGGGGGCGATCGGGCCGCCGCCTAGTTAGAGGCCAGCCTCCGGTGTGGGACTGTGACTGCAGCCTTTGTGTCAGGTGCAGGCTACACCTGATGCCACCCGCTCGCTTCTGACCTTGGTGGACAAGGTACAAGGTCGTCTTTAATTCCACCACTGAGTGTTCACCCGACTCACAGGGAGCAAAACTGAGGGACAAGCCAGGGAGACCATACGGAGAAGCCAGGAGGCTGCCCTTGGACAGCCTCGGCTGGTGAGGGCCCCTAGCAGACCGGGACAGCAAACTTTGAGGCCTTTTTTGTATGTTTCAAAATGAAATGAACAGATTTCTTACACTGCTCTCCTACTGGAAGTCATAATTACAACTCACCCTTCCCTTTGTCCCCTGCAATCCCTCTAAGCAGCTCCCAGCAACTCAGCCTAGTTTGGGGACGCGTTCTGCATTTTGCATTGCCCCCGTGCCTCCCTAGACCTATACGTCAAGGAATAAGGAGTGGAGACATGACATATTAATGTTTTATCAGGGGACGCTCTCTGCTCCCACAGGACGGGAGGGCGCCCGCGAGGAGAGGATGACCGAAAAGGAGCGGGAAGCATCACTCCGCGGCTCCTGCGGAAATTCATATTCCGCGTATGTTCCTCCCTCACCTGAAATAAATCCTGCAGGCCTACCCATGCAACCCCAGCAGCACTTATTTATTTGCATGTCATGCTTATAATATGGTAGAAAGCAAGACAGATCTTCGGGGAGGGGAGGAGATGAGGTTCACCTTTCAGGATTGCTCTCTTAAATAAAAAAGAATTGACCGGCGGGGCGCCTAAGAATTTATCTTGAGTTTGTGGTCATTATCTCTATTATATAGCCCCAGCAATAAATAAACTGGGTAGTTACTACCCAACAATAAAACTGTAGTGTATGGGACACCTTACTATTACTTTCTTAATAATCTGCCGTTTCTTTCCCTTTAAATCTTCCAGGTCATGTCTTCCCAGTCTTCAGCAAGAATCTGTCTTCGCCCCTTGAGGTACCAGACTGCTGGGATCATTTTTATACTTCGTGCACACAATCAGCTCTCCTGTCTAGACTTTCTGCTTTTCCTCCTATTTCTAGGCTGCCTAATCTGCTTCAAGACAAAGGGTCGGCCCGGATCAAATGCCTTCTTCCTTCCCTTCCCTCCATTCGAACCGCTTTGTGCGTCCACGTTAATGAAGATCGCCCCTCTCTCTGCAGCCGCCCTCGGGTCGCTGAGAGCAAGAGAGCCTCACAGGTTCCTGGTGACCCGGTGACCCTGCTGGGAGGGGTGGACAGGGCCTGGGCGCACCCCCAACCCCAGGCGCCCCGGGGCGCGCTGGGAGTCCACCGGCCGGAGTTGGAGAGACTCTGCCTAGGGCGCTTCTACCTCTTCGGGCCCTCATCCGATTCCTGATTGTGCCTTAGCCTGTGCATTTCGGGGGTCGCATCCTTCCGATTTCTGGGGAGTCCCATCCCTCCGACTTCTCCCGCTCGCCCTGCACAGGGCAGAGCGCGCCACCCGCGGACACGAGCACCCGCCTGCGAGGTCTGTCCTCGTCCGACCGCGGGCTGCGCCGCGCCTGCGGCCGTGCAGAGCCCACGGAGCGGCGGGCGTGGGGCGGGAGCGGCGCCGCCTTCCTCTCCCGGCGCTCTCACACCTGGGCGCGACCCCCGCGAGTCTCGGGCTGGCCGGGCCCGGAGCCCAGCTGGGCCCGGGGCCCTCAGCCCGGCGGGGAGAAGGAGCCCCGCCGACGTCGGGCCGGTGCCTTCCAAAGCCCCGCGCACTGGCTCGGCCACGCCAGCCGGAGAGTGACGCGCGCCCAGCGGCCGGCAAATGACCGTCCCGTCCGCCCGGCCAGAGCTGGGGTGGCGAGTCGGGAGGGTGCGGGCAGAAAGGGGCAAAGCGGCAGTGCTGGGGCAGGAAGAGAAAACAGACCTCCGTCGCTTCCCCTGCCTCTCTTTACGGCGCTGGCCCCAAGAAATCAAGTTAAAAACAGCAAGCCCCCATCAGGCTCGTTCTTGTGTGACTTAGATCAAGGATGGCACTTGGTACCAAACCTGTGGGAGGGAGGAGAGGAGAGGGAGAGACAGAGGCAGAGAGAGAGACACACAGAGGCGGAGGGAGAGAGAGGCAGAGTGAGAGGCAGAGACAGACACAGAGACACAGAGAAGAGACAGAGAGCGAGCGACAGAGACAGAGAGACTGAGACAGACAGACAGAGAAAGGAGAGAGACTGGTGCGGGATGGAGAAGGGTCTGTGAACTTCTCACCTTTCTTAACTCAGTAACAACACGTCCTTCTTTAAAAAAATCCTCTTCACAGTGTGTGTGTGTGTGTGTGTGTGTGTGTGTGTGTGTTTCCCTCTTAATTGCATTTTCCTAGGATGATCTTTTACGACTGGAAAACAAGCGGCTGAAAAAATATTCACGTTTGGGACAGAAAACATTTTTTATTTATATCTTTGACATTTAAAAGCAGAATTAATTTGTCCTGTCTACATTAGCATTGAGAGAAAGTTTCAGAAATCTACCCAGGGGAAAAAGGAGGGGAAAGAAAAAAAAAGAAGAAAAAAAAGGAAGCAAAGAAAGGAAAAGGAAAGCTAGACTTGGTTTTTCTTATTTCAGATCTGTAATCAATCACTGAAATAGGAGGCTGCAAAATTGTAAAGATTCGATAGATTAAAATGCAAATGAAAGGTAGAAAAAGAAACATTAACATGGCGATCAAAGATTTAATAACCGTAAATCAAGTTTTTTTTCTGTTGCAGCTGCTCTGTGTGTGTTTATGTTTTAATCATGTTCGTTCCATAAATAAATAATTTCTGAAACGAGACTAATTTTTCATTATTTTAACCGTGGGCTATAACACTAACTATTAAAAATAGAAAATGTACATGATGCCAGACCCCCAATCAAACAAGAGGAAGTCTTGTGTCGATTGCTTAAAAATCAAGGGATTTAATTTGTGTGTTTTGAAAATTAAAGTATTATGCCACAAAAATTCTATCTCAGTGGACAATGCCCAACATTTTATTTTCCCTTTAATATTTCAGGTTAACAATAAGATACCATTTACATTAAATATATGCATGGCTGCATATCCATGTCACTTTGAGCATTTTTAAAGAACGAAAGTGCCAGCATATTTAAATAAGACAAAACACACATTATTTCCAAGTGTCTTGACAGAATTTCTGGAAAATAATACATTTTGGAAGAATTTGTCGTCTATTTAAAATTTAACAGATGGTTTAACAAAGTTAAAACTTTTTTAGCTTTATTACTAAAGTTCTTTTTCCAAAGGGGAATAGTTTAGCCCTCTGTTTTGTTAGCATTTGACATAAGGTTTTATGTCCAGGTGTCAATTTACTGGAATAAACTTTATTTTATTTAAGTACTCATTTTCTCAACTGTGGTGAAGGTTTTTCATTTTGATCCTTTTATCTAAATATTAATCTCTATGGTTAATTTAGAAATGCCTAGAACTTTTAAAATAAAACACCTGGACTTGGTCTTTTCCTTCTGCTCATTCCCCCCCCCCTTTCTTTTTTGGTGGTCTTATTAACATAGGGGAAATTCATTTTCAGCAGATTGGAAACTTTTCTTTTTGGCAATACAGCTTTGCAATGTTTAAACTATGCTCTTTGCTTATTTTGTCTTTGAAAGAGTCATTCACCCTAATTCACTGAAATGATGAATTAGAATTGTCTCAGTTTCTCCTTTCTACAAATTAAAATAACCAAACCCAGAAATACATGTTTTCTTTCTAAAACCCTTTAAGTTAAATGTGAGTTAAGTTGATGTCCATTCTTCCTGATGCCAGCCAAATAATCACGTTTTCACTCTGACACTCCACTAATGCATTTAGTTTAAAATTACCCTTGGACTTTTTCTCCTTTGTATTTTTTCATTTACTTTACTGCAACAAGATGACTTGATTTTCATGGGATTACATGAACTCCATTCAGGGTTACTGGGATATTTCTTCTCAACTAAATACTTGCCTTAACAGACAAATGAACTTCTTTTTATTTGCTGGACTTTGTAGATGGTTTTAGAAGCAGAGTGTGCAACTGATTTAGTTATTGTTGTTGTGAGAATCGAACAGGCACAAAAGTCATTTATCTAAACCGAAGAGATATGACTCTGTACAAGGGAGAAGCAAGGGCAGAATCATGGGGAATTATTTCAGTTTATAGCTCTTATTAATTAAACCGGATGTGGTTTTTATTCTGCTCTTTTAGACCTGACCTTGTTAAAAGCTCTCAGCTATTCGTCTATCCCTTACCCCACAGTTCTTTTTTTTTTTTTTCATTCATTATGTCCCTTGTTGATAGGTGTTGCTTTTTCTGTATTATACTGCTAAGTAACTATGGTGCAAATTCTCGTGCGTCTTCAGACAATCGGACGATTGCACCACTTCCCTCCCCCGAAAATAAAAGGGGAAAAAATGAAAAGAAGAAATGTTTTTCTCACTCAGTTTTAGCATTTTGTTTCGTTGAAATGCAAGACAGGTACTTGATTTAGCATTTAAGCAAAAGGTTACACAAACCGCGTTTTAGAAAGTGTTGGGATGTCCGACAGGGTCAGCCCCAGATCAGATCATTTTTTGAATACAGACCTAAAGATAATGAGTACTTGTTGTATTAAAGGGGACAAACAGTACTTTGGCTTCCTCTGACCCCAGAACGCACGGCTCGGTTTCATTGATCATCCTCCTTTATGAGATAATGCAATTACAAACATCAATAAGGGGCTGCAAGGGGAATCATTATGCGGTGACAGTGATAAATGACGGTGCAGAAATAGCTTGCTTTTTCCCCCCTAACAATCCAGGAGCCCAGGGGCTCCGGGGGCTGAACACAGTCGCCAAGGAAACAGATGACATCCCAAACGGTACCAAAGGAAAAAAAATGAACAGTCTTTCTTTGCCTTTCACTCTTTTCCGTCTTCCAAAGAGTTAGTTTTGGCTCTAGCAGCAGCTGCCACACAGGCATTTCGTTATTTCAGACATTAAAGACGAGAGCGGGCAGTGGGAGTCTCCTCCCTGCCATCCCCACCCCCTCCAGATAACACACAAAGCTGGCTGTTCACAGTTTAGGACTACCTGAAAACGCCCTTCTCCAAGTCAGACTGAGATGAGGTGGAGGGGTAGGGGGACGTGGATTTACACAGCCACTGCGTTGTGTTTTCTCTGCTTTTGTCCAGGGAAAACTGGGTCTCCAGAACAAACTGGCGCCCGGAGGGTCTGCCAGGAAAGGGACGGGCGCTCCCGGCCCGCCTCCTTCTCCTTGCGGCTGCTAGGGGCGGAGGTGCAGGCGGCTGCTAGGTGCTAGGTTTGGTGCTGTCCTGAGTTTCTTTGAGATGCAATTAGCAGGGACTGCAAGATCTCCCCTAAAACCAAGAATCTTGTTCTTTAAAATCCCGGGTTACCCTCAGAAAGGGTCTTCAAAGGGGCCTCGCTGAGCAATTCCCACCCTCCCAAATCCAGAAAGGTGGATGTGGTAGGCGGAGGCAAATAGTCCCCGGGTTACCGAGGCAGCAGGGCAGGACCGGCGCTTGCAGGGGGCTGGGAGGCAAGTAGAGCCCCAGGACTCCAGCACTCTAGAGTCTAGGCGGAGAGGGAAACTTTTGGGGGGAAGTGAACCAAGAAAGTGCTGAGGTTGAGGGAGGCCTAACAAGAAAGCACAAGAGCAGTGAGCAGGAGAACGAGTGCGCAATTCTACTGCTCAAGCAGGTCTCCAGCCCGGAAAAAGTAGTCCTGAGCTCCTGAGCCCTGCCCGGCGCGCCTCAGCGCGGAGCTAGGGACCCACGCGGCGCGCCCAGCCACGCGAGGCCTCCGAGGGTAGGAGAGGCCCGGGAGGGTGGGGAAAGCAGGTAACTTGATTCACTGCCCCCCCCCCGCCCCAATCCGCTTGGTACCGGGACTCGTTTTCCGCAAGGAGATTAAGATCATTGTTCACCTAATGAACTTAATGCTTTAGGGTAGAGGTGAGTATGTCTGCTAGTGGGCAGGGGTAGGAATTACCGACCCGATCGATGGGAAACGGGTTTAAAACTAAATCCTTTCTCTCCAAGGCTTCAAGTCGGGATTTCCCGGGGCTGGGCAGAGCGCGCCGGGAAGGCAGCAGGCAGCGCGCGGAAAGACGACCCCAATGACCGGCCAGCCAGCACCAAGGTTCTAAAAGCGCCCCGACATCCCCACAGAGACCTCTAAGAACCCATTTTTAGGGCCAAGACTCTTCAAAGCGCAAACGTTGCCGAATGGATTGCTCAATATGTTGTTTGTTTTCCTTTCAGCTCCGCCTTGGGAGAGAATTTTAGGCGCAAGCGGAAAGGGGAGCCCGCCCCCTCCGTGCCACCAGCCTCCCGCTTCAGGCTGGGCCCCCACTCACTCGCTCCCTCTTGGCGCTCTCCGGGGCCCTGGGAATCCCAGTGTCTTAGAGGCGTTGCTCCCACACGACCCTAGCTCTACGCGCCGCCAAAGAGCCACTAGGTGCGGGGTAGCGTTGGGCAGGGGAGAGGGACCAGGAAACACGCCGGGTCAGGCAGGGCGTCCCACTACTCAGTTCCACTCCGCCCCACCCGGTTTTCAAACGACTACCCTGGAGCTTTGCACGATCGAGTCACGTTTTGACCGCCTTCGCCCAGGCAGAGGGTCTGCCGGGGCCGTACGGCGGGGGAAAGTGTGCTGGGCTGTAAAAGTCCTCCCAAGTCCCAGCCGAAACCGCCGGCGCCGCCCACTGCCCCGGGCCGCGGCGCCCGGCGCCGGACCCCCGCCCTCGCGCCCCGTCCGCCTGGCAAAGTCTCGGGTGCCCTCTGCTTCCCAAGCTCTCTGGGTCACAGTTCTCGAACCGACGTGGGACTCGGGAGTCGGGACTCCGATGTGGCAGAGTCCGAGGGATCTCGAGTCCATTGCAAAGCACCGGCGGCGATGCCGAGGGAAGGGCCTGCTCGGGCGGGAGGCGTCTCCCCAAACCCTGCGAGCGGACCCCACGCCTTCGGGTCTCCAGAGAGGACACCAGCAGCCCTTCCTTTCAGGTGGGGGTGGGGAGGACACGGCAGGATCCCGCAGGCTCTGGCAGCGCCTCGGGCGCTGGGGCGCGGCCGGGACCTGTGCGCCTCCGCCCCCGCCTCCGCCCTGCGCCCAGGCCGACGCCGCGCGCCGCGCGGCCAGGGGCAGCTGCGTGGCGGCTGGAGCTCGGGCAGGGCCCTCGGGATTTTCCCCAGGGGCGAGGAGCGCAGCCCGCCCCAAACCCGGCAGCTCCTGCCCCACCCGGCCCGCACTCGGGGGCGCTGCGAGCTGCACGGAACGGGGGCGCAAAGCGCGCGCCGCGTTGGACGCGCGCGGGGGTCGGGGGGGGGCAGGGCTGTGACTTTGCTTCTGGGAATCTCCCCGCTTCCCTAGGAAGTTTCCCGGGGGGCGCCTCTGCCGCCGGCCGGGGCCACCGCCAGTCCTTCCGTGCCTGCCTCCCGCCTCCGGAGGC